TGGTGGCCAGAAACAGGGATGCTCATGGTAGAGTTCCATGAGTTTAGAAATGAGGCAATTGTGTGGAACCCCCAGGGTGCAGAATAATCTAAATGATTGGGAGATTTAATTTATGACTTAGCTCTATATAAAATACAAGATGTGAAGCCGTGTGATAATAAAGAGGACAGGAGAGTATGGATGTGGGACAGCTCGGGATTGTTTTCTTTCCTCTTCATAATTTTGAATTCCTCATCAATGAGAAGCTTTCCCTGCTCCAACATTTGATGTCCTCATGTCCCCAGAACCCAACCAGAAAAGGTAGGGTAGGGTTGGGTTGGGGTTGAAAAGTATGGACCTGACTTAACTTTGGGTTGGGTTAAGGTTGAGGCCTTGACCAACCCAACACAACTTGAACCCGACTAAACTTCATGTTTGCATGTATATATATTATATAAATATAGTTCTTATGCATGTAAGTACTTACGTATATGCATATTTTCATGCATGTATGCATATGCAAATATGCACCCATAAGTGTATATTATCTATATATTTATGTATTTCTTTCACTGCAAGTATTTATGTATCTACATTTATGTATATGTATATTTAGGTATTTATGCATACTTGTCTAGTGATTTAAAAGGCGCGCCTCAGGCATGCTTAGGCACATTGGTGAGGCACGTTTTAGGGTAGGTGCCTTGCCCAGGTCCTAGGCGCAGCACTTTCAAAAGGCACATGCCTGGTGCGCCTGATGCGCCTTGGCCTAGACGTGTGCCTTTTGAAAATTATTTGTTTTTTTGCTTTTTTTGAACCTAGCGGCTGGGGTGGGGGCTCCACCCCCGGACCCCCGACCACGCCCCTCAAGGCAAGCCCAAACAAGTCCATGTTAGGGTCTTAAATTCTTAATTCACACAAAAAAATAATGATTTTATAAATTTAATTGCCTTTTAAGAAGATATTTTATTAAGATGAGTGAATGAACAACATTAGCAAATAGGGGGTTCTCGGAGCTTTGTTGAGCGAGCAAAGTGAGCGATTGTGGGCTTGTTTGGGCTTGCCTCGAGGGGTGTGGCACAAAAGCAATTTGTAGAATCAGGAATGTAATATGTTTTACATCACATTAGCTACTTGAAGTAATGTAATAGAGGAAAAAAAGAGATTGTGGGCTTTACATGCTTAAAAATCTTTTATGTTTGATTTTATTTTTAAATTTTCATTTGAATATGCTTTACATGTTTTGTTTATGTATGTTAATTTTAGACAATAGATTTTTTAAACCCTTAATTTTAAAATTTAAGTTTATATTTCTTATTAATATTATGTTTAATATTTTTTTAAGTTTTTTGATTATTTTGAATTTTCTGACATTTTTTTTGATTTTTTAGCATTTTCTTTTTGTATTTTTGCGCCTTGCTTCAGAAAAGGTGCACACTTCACCTTGCACTTTTAAAACACTGTATTTATCTATCTATACATGTATATTTTTCCTCAAACATGATAACTATGTTCTTTTACACATAATAATGCTAATATTGAATTAACACAAACCCTTAGAGTCCAAGAAATAAGTACGTTTGGCAAAAGAAAGTAGAGAAGTTGGGGCAACCCAATCCTAACCCAATCCAAAGTTGAGGGTTCAACAACTCGGGTTGGGTTAGGGTTGACCTCAACCTGATCTAACCTGTCTAACCTGGCCTGAGTCACCTGACTTGCACCCGTAATGTTAGATACTTCAACTTTTAGTGTAGATTCTGTCAGATACCTCAGCCAGACAAGTAGCACTTCTAAGTAAATGGTATTGGTTGTTCAATACTGAGACAAATGGTGGGTGGAAATCTTTAGTAAAACAATTGGGCTTAGAGAGGGTGGGTGGGACCCTAACATGGATAAATACTATTATGGTTACTTCGCATGGCAGGGGATTGGAAAGCCATTTGATTTCTTCAGATCTGGCATCAGCTGCAGGGTTGCTGGTTTCTCAAAACTCAAAATTTGGCAGGATTCTTGGTGTGATGAGAAACCACTGAATTAGCTATTTCCTTAGTAGCCGAGGATAAAGAGATGAAGGTGCGATATTGCTGTTGCAGAATGTGTTTCAACTGGGAGCAGGAGGAAATGGTGGATCTTTACTGAAACACCATGGCTCCAATCAATGTAATGGTCTTATGGATGGTAGGACTTGGAAATGGGAGAAATCAGGTATCTTTATTGTCAAATCATGTATCAACATGCTAGCAAGTATCTAATCCATTAAGGTAGAAGATAATGAGAGATTTTCTCTGTGAACTGGGAGAAGGGAAAAGGGACCATTTGATTAATAGGGAAACAGTGTGCAAGTGTAAGGAGGAAGGGGGGTTAGTGGGAAGTCAGCCCTTCTGGGTGAATGGCTGTGGAGATTCCCTATTGATTCAAACAAGCTATTGCACCAGGTTATCAAAAGTATTCACAGATTACACTCTAATGGATGGGATGCTGGGCTTCATGCTAAAGCTTCCTTGTCTTCACCTTGGAAAGCTATTTCATCCGTCTCTTCCTGTTTCTTGATGTTTATCAGGTATGATGTACATTTAGGGGGATCTATAGGTATGCTGTACATTTAGGGTGTAAATCTTTTCTCTGAAAGGATCTTTGGTTGGGGGACCATCCATTCATGAGCCTTTTCCCTTCACCATATAACCTGGCCTCCAATAGATTGTTTGGTTTCCCATTGTGTTTCAGTCTCCAACAATGGGCTGCATTGGGATTTGGGCTTAAGGAGGGGTTTTAGGGATTCTGAAATGTCAGATGTCACTGCCATGCTTAACATTCTAGAAGAAATCCACCTTGACCCAAACGAACCTGATGAGGGATTTGGACTTTAATGACATCTGGGTCCTTTTCTTGTAATTCTTTCCTCCATGATTTTTGTACTGTAGGGACCCCCTTACCTCTTCAACTTGTCCTGTAAATGCCATTTTGAAAGGTCCAACTCCACTCAAAATCAATGCCTTTTGTTGGGAGGTATACCATGACAAAATCAATACAATGGTGACATTACAGAAAAGAAAGCCTTGGTGGATGCTTTGACCTCATGTTTGTCTTCTGTGTGAAGCACCTAGTGAAAGCTCTTATCACCTACTAATCTCCTGTAGTTTTATGTCTGCTATCTGGAATTTCTTTTTCTCCTTGTTCGGTGACAGATGGGACCCACATTTGGATCGGAAAAGTTTATTCCTCACCTTTTTTTCTCCCTGCCAAAGAAAAGGGGAAAGGTACTATTGGAGGTGTACAAGGGCAGCAATCTTGTGGAGTGTGTGGAAAGAAAGGAACAATCACATCTTCAGGGAGAAAAAAAAAGATCTATTAGAGAACTGACTGGCATTATCTCTATTAAAGTATTACACTGGGCTAAGACTCTGGACATCTCTTCTGATTATACAACGGATGATATCCTTAGAAACTGAAAACAAGCGGCTAATTCTGCTCCTTGGACAGTGAAACCAGTAGTCGATGGTGCAGTCTTGTCTGGGTAACCCTGGGCCTTGTGGAATAGGTGGAGTAATCAGGGATAGGGGTGCTCATTATACGGTTCAAACCGCAAAGCCGAACCAGACCAAACTGAATTTGCGGTTTGGTTTGGTTTATACCTATAAACAGTTCGGTTCGGTTTGAGAATTTTCTAAATTACGGTTTGCGGTTTCGGTTTGGTTTATTGAATTTTATAAATTGAACCAAACCGTAAACCAAAATTTTATATTCATATATATAATATGATATATATGATATATAAATATTATATATAATATATCTAACTAGAATGCGTAAAATTATAAATATATAATGAACTCTTTATTTTATAATAAAATAATAAACGAATGTTTTAAGTTTTAATTTTTAGGGGAGCTATTTGGGCTTTCTAATTGGGTTTAGCCCAAAAGAATCATAGAATGGTCCAAAGTCCCCAAATCGTAATAAAACGGTTTGGTTTGGTTTGATTTCCATACCAAAACGGTTTGGTTCGGTTTAGAAATTTCTCAAACCGTAATTTACTGGTTTGTCTGAGATCTCTAAACCACACCGAACCAGACCGTGAACACCCCTAATCAGGGATGAAAATGGCAACATTTTAGAACTCTTCTCATGTCTGTTGGGGATAGGAAATGCAATCAGGGAAGAGAGATAGGCAGCGCTCATAGGTCTGAGGAGGCTAAAAGCTTTGAATTTGAAGATGGTGGAAGTGGAAGGAGACTCACAGTCATAGCTTGGCTGAAAGATGATCAAAAGGTGGCTTGGAGCTACAGACATGTGTTCAGAGAGCTGAAAAAACTATTAGAGGACCTGCAGGCACAAATAATGTGGAGGCAAGAGCAGCCAATGAAATAGCTGATGTATTAGCAGCAAAACAAGGGGTTTCAAGGGATCAGTTACATTGGGTAGTTAGCCTAGGCTAGCCTCCTATTTTGGGTTTTCCCTTCCTGATGTACCTTTACATATTTTTATAATTAATAAATCATTTACATTTACTCATAGAAAAGTATACATAGTTTGCCACCTTGTAAATGTGAAGTGCACTTAAACATCTAACTGGCTTTACGTCTCAATTTGAAAGTTCTTCATGATTTTTTTTTTGTCTGCATTATGTATTAAGTGATCAATTTGAAGTTCAATATTATGACAACCTTGACATGCTTTTTTTTTTGGGTATAAACATGGGATTTATATTAGTTTGCTGTGGGTACCACTGTCAGGCACATGGACTCAAGGTACTTGGAGACAGACATACAATTATTATGTCAATGTTTTCTAATATTGTGATACATTTTTTCCTTTCATACTAATATATGCCTATATGAGTTTAGCTCTAAAAATATAAACATATAAATACTGTGGCACGTTCTAGTGCAAGTTGCATAAACAGATACCAATGCAATAATGCATCTTGGTGACATGGCATACAGTTCTTTGAATTACCTTGTTAACAGATCTACTTGGTCAGTTGCAGTTGCTCTATTGTTGCTTACTATCTGTTTTTTCAGGTACTTCCGAATTGATCCTCTACCAGGCCGCAAGTAAGTCTCCCAACTTGCACGAGGGTTGTATGACCAAATTCTGAGCCATCTTGGTTATGTTTCAGTAATCATGCATGATGGTAGAATGTTTACTAAGTAGGAAGTCATGGTGAATAAAGCATATATTCCGCACATATTTTCTTCACTTTGACCAGGTAAATGTGGCATCAATGCTCAGTGCACTAGTACCTGGCCAACCGGGGGAGAAAGTTGTGAATTATCCTGCTCGACCTGTGGACACAAGTACAGACTTTGAAGGAACGGCTACTGTTCAACCTTCTCAACCGGTATTTCATCCAGAACTGAAGATTTCTTGAAATTTCTGATGATTTAAGGCTGCAAACCTTAGATATGAATGGATGTACATTTCATGAAGCCATACTTATGCTTGTTGATTGTCTTTATAAATTTGTGATATTAGTAAATTTCTACTGGTTTTCCTGTGACAGTATTCTGGTAAGCAAGCTGAAACCGAACGGACTGGGCCTAAATGTTTCTTCAATAGAGATACATGAAATGTGGGGTGTATCTTGGAAGAGCTAGGGAGGTCTAACTTATAAGCCACCTTACCCACCCTCGCCATAACATGGAATGGACCATAAAATCTGGGAGCCAACTTTTGGGAGGACCATTTAGCCAAGCTACTCTGCCTGTAGGGCCTTGGCTTCAAATAAACCCAGTCTCCTACCTCAAACTGAACATCTCGATGTTTCTTATCATAGTGGGCCTTCATTTGTTGTTGAGACTTTAGCAAGTTGGCCTTTAAGTCCTTAAGGACCGCATCTCTGTCTGTTAGACGTGTATCTACTTCAGCCGCAGTTGTGGATCCCTTCTCATAGGGTAGTAGGGAAGGGGGTTCCCTTCCGTATAGAGCATGAAAAGGTGACGTGCCAATTGGAACATGAAAAGAAGTGTTATACCAGTATTCTGCCCACGGAAGCCACTTGACCCACTTCCCGGGGTAATCACTAGTAAAGCACCGAAGGTAGGTCTCAAGGGAATGATTCACCACCTCAGTCTGTCCGTCTGATTGTGGATGAAAGCTGGTGGAATGATGGAGTTTTGTTCCTTGCACCCGGAAGTATTCAGATCAGAAACGGCTCATGAAAGTTGAGTCCTGATCAGAGATAATTGTCTTGGGTGTGCCATGTAAACGGGAGACCTCCTGGACAAAACTTTTGGCCACTTGTGCTGCAGTGTATGGATGGGACAGTGGTGCAAAATACGCATACTTGGACAGCTGATGCACAAAAACAACAATGACTGTCTTCCAACTGGAAGGAGGTAGACCAGTAATGAAATCCATAGTTACCTCATCCTACACTTGTTCTGGGAGCGGTATAGGCTGTAACAGCCCAGTCGGGGACTGATTGTCATATTTATGCCGTTAACATATTGTACACATGGCAACATACTCCCGAATCTGTCTCTTCATTCCCACCCAATAAAAATGAGAGGATACCCTACGATAGGTTCATAGGATGCCTGAATGTCCCCTACTGGAGAAGCGTGAAAAAGCTCTAAGAGGGCCGGAATGTGGGTTGAGTTATCCGGCAACAGCATTCTGCCCTTGTGCATCAGAATTTCATCACAAAGGGAGAAACCAGGTGGGACTTGTTCCCCATTCAAAATCTGGTTTCTGATCTTAGTGAGGCTAGCATCATTAGAGGCTTCCTCCCTCAGCTGAGTCATAAATGGATAAGTGAGCTTAGAAGCTACTGTCTGGCAGCACTCATGTTGCCTTGACAAAGCATCCGCAACCAGATTGGACGGACCTGTTTTGTACTATATTGTGAAGTCAAAGCCTAGCAACTTATATAGCCACTTTTTCTGTACCTCATTCAGAGCAGGTTGTTCTATTACATATCTAAAGCTTCTTTGATTGGAGCGAATGGTAAAAGCTCGACCCAACAAGTACCTCCTCCACTTTTGCACAACCAAAACACCCGCCATTAACTCCTTTTCATACGTGGATTTACCCTGGGCCAGTGGTGAGAGAGCTTTTCTGAAATAGGCAATGGGCTTTTCGTCTTGTAACACTACTGCCCCTATGCCCTTTCCTGATGCCATCCGATTCTACTACAAATGGTTTAGAAAAATCTGGCAGGGACAAGATGGGGGGGGGGTCGTAAGGGCCATCTTCAGTGTCGTGAAGGCATTCTCCGCTTCTTCCGACCAATGGAAAGCATTCTTCTTGAGCAAGTCTGTTAGTGGGGCTGTCATAGTGCCGTACCCTCTAATGGACCGCCTGTAATACCCAGTAAGGCCCAAAAAACCCCTAAGATCCTTGACAATCGTGGACTTGGGCCACTGCAATATACAATTTATCTTGTCTGGTTCAGCTCTGACTGTGCCTGCTATGACAATGTGTCCCAAATAGTGGATTTGCGTCTGTCCAAAATCACATTTTGACCTTTTAGCATACAACTGATTGGCTCTAAGAATGTCAAAGGTGGAGCGCAAGTGCTGCATGTGAGACTTCCAATCCGTGATGTAAACTAAAATGTCATAAAAAATACGGACGAAAGATCTCATTCATTAAGGACTGAAAAGTAGACGGGGCATTAGTGAGGCCGAAAGGCATCACCAAAAATTCATAGTGGCCCTCGTGCATCCTAAATGCCGTCTTATAAACATCTTGAGCATGTACTCTAATTTGATGGTACCCTACCTGTAAATCTAATTTGGAGAAAATCTTAGCTATGCCAAGCTCATCCAGCAGTTCATCAATTACAGGTATCGGAAACTGATCCCGGACTGTAATTTTATTTAGGGCATGGTAGTCAATGAAAAAACTCCACGTGCCTTCTTTCTTCTTAACCAAGAGGGCAGGCGCTGAATCCGGACTGTTACTAAGCTGTATCATGCCTTTGTCCCTGAGTTCCTTCACCAATTTTTCTATTTTTGTTTTCTTGCAATGTGGATACCGATAGGGCCACACATTTTTTTTGAAAGGTAAGGTAACTTTATTAAAATTAACTCATAAAAAGTACAGAACAGAACCTGCCCACAAACAGGCAGGTCTGAAGACTTCCACTACAGACACCAGATTGATTGAGTTCTCAATAGATGAGTTACATTTGAGTTTCTGAATTCAGGAGTGACTGAGATCCAAGAAATCAGTTTACCAACAGCCAGCTGAACTATATCCTCTGCCCCTCTCACCTTTTGATTAAAAATTCTGTTGTTTCTCTCAGACCAAATGGCCCAAATCACAGCTGCC